AGTCTCTCTATTTTGTGTCTATTTGTTCTTCTACTTTCATTTACTATGTTGGTCATGAGAGACGAAGAGAGAAATGCCCTAACCACTGATAATATGTTTTATAACATAGTTAAGTATAATGGCCAACGGGCAGTCGGTGAGATTGTGAATTCCAAGCTGCCCTGTCCATCTTTGTATCAAATGGCCAACCTTGCAGAGTATTCCCGAATCCCGAGGGTTAGAAAGCTAACCAGTCGGACACTAGACTAATGGCCGACGGGAAAACTAATTCCCGACAATCCTAACGAGACACGTGGCAAATGGTTATAATAGCCAACAGTTATACGATTCTCAATCGTGGTACTAGGACACTCGGCTATTTCGGTGATGAGCCATTGCCAATTTTTGTTGGTTGATTATTGTTGGTCCTTGTATCAAATGCCCGATAGTGTAAGATAATGGCCGACAGTATAAAAACCATTGGCTATTCTTACGATTCTAGTAGTAAGTCAAGAGTATATATATATATGACCGCACTATGCAAAACCTACCGTGACTGCAAAACCATTGGCAACGCATGAATGGAGCCAAGAAGACCAGAAAAGTCGCCGTCTTGGCGCCTTCGGCCGTCCCGTGCATGCTCTCCGGCCGCCTTGCCTGCTTATCCAGATGATGCAGAGTTTGGGGACCTGACCTATACGAACGCACCCTGCCCCCTACCCCTGTCTCTGTCTGTCTATCTATCTATCTATCTATCTATCAGTCTAGGATATAAAACGCACGCGCACCGCCGGGCGCCGGCACCGTCGGCGTCTCGGCGACAAAGCAAAGCGATCGAGCGAGGAAAAGCGCATGAATCGGCGGCAGAACTATTCCTGGGCGACGGGACGGGCCAACCTATCACGCACGGCGTCCACGCCGCCGAAGCCGATTGGCGGGGCGAGCTCCGCGGCACATGGGCTCGACCTGCCCCCGCCCCGCATTCTGTAATCCACCCATGAAATCTTTCTAGTTTTCGCAGTGCGTCAACACTCAGCAGAGCAATACTTAATCATCTCTGCAAGAGTAGATTCATCAGAACATCCGTAATTGTGAACTCAGCATTCAGGGAACAGAAAATTATGTAAATCTACAATAATTGACAAGTGAAATCTTCAAATTCTTGGTTGCATTACATTCAATTGGTAGCAAACGAATTTGGAATACTTTAGAAGACTTAGCAAATATAGTTTTTTCTTTCTTTCTTTCGACTGCACCAGTTTCAAGTACAGTAATTTCACGAAAACGCCTTTTCCTAAGCACCAGTTCACTCATACTACCCAGCTTCGGGTGATTCAATAAACTTTGGAAAATAATAGGTAACACATCAGGAAATCAGTAACTTTCTAGGATCAAACCATGAGTAGGTTACTGTTGTCGAGTATAGTCTGATTGACAAACACCAACAATAAAGCCTACTAGTCTCAAGTGAGTTGAGGACTTGAGGTAGGCTATATAGAACATAAAAAAATATCAATAACAGTAAACAACATAAAGTAAAAGATGTTTTAACTGTCCCATTTACAGTACCTATACTTTTAAAATCAAACTAAAAATGTCAACTGGCACTTCTCTGGTTGGAAGGTTTAAAAAAGTCTCGATGGTGATATTTTGGTTTAGCTTTTTGTCCAGAACTTTATGGACGCCATGATAAGCAACTAGAGTGTTCTTGAGTATTTCCTGATTTCATATGAAATAGAGGTGATGGAAACCATATGTCTGTTCAAAGTCAACCCCCCTGTGATTTTTTTCACACATTCTGAGAGCCTGTTATAGTCATTAAGCAACTGGGTCATTGCTGCTTTTAGAATTGCCATCCCAGACAAAAGGTTACTACAAGAAGTTATGACTTCATTGTGCATGAGCTCTAGAGCAGTTCTCCACTTCATGGCAAAGTTCTTCACAACTGGCTCAACATCAGCAATATTGGTGTCATCGGTGTAAGATACCAAGTCTTCCGCTAAAAAGAGGATAAGAATGATCATTTTTTGCATATTCCCATGGGTGATAGCATTCACATCAACTGGGATGAAGTTTTCTGCAACTTACAAACATGGCTCCTCACAAAGCAAGTAAGTCACTGAAATGTTCCATGAGCAAATCATCCTGTACTCCAACAAAGATGACATGAAAACTTTGTTTGAAAAGATACAATGAAATCATTTCAGTTCATAAAAAGGAGCCTATAATATGTAAGATCTTGATAGTAAACTGGAAACAGGTCAGTGTTCTTGTGGTGGGGAGGCTATTTAACCTCCCTGACACCTGAGTTTGATTCCTGGGCATTGGGCATTTGGTTTGGTTAAAAGACTTTTTTCCTCGAACATGCAGAAGGTTAAAAGGAAAAAAAAGGAAAATGTAGAAAAGCTTGAAAGAAACTCACAACACTGGTAAATCCAAATAAATGGTTGTAAATATTATCTTGTAATCATATCTTAATGTTCTCATTTCCATTCGCCCGTATGGAATGTTATCCAAAATTTTAGAATAATTAAGATTTAAGAAATTATATTTCAAAGTGTAATGTGCATATCTTTACTCATTCCCAAAGTTTAATAAATGGGCAGTGATCCATGAGTTACCAACAATAAACAATGTGACTAAAGATACTTAGTTTTTTATACCAAAAATTTTTACAGTTATCAATATATGTGTCAACCTATCAGAAATATTGTAAAGGGTCAAAATCACCCATTTGCGGTCTAAAACTTGCCATTAGTCCCCTATTGCAGCATGGTCGTAGTGGAGATCGGTTTCAACCTAGCATAAGTTCAATAAAAAATACTAGATCCCACTAGCAGCAATCCAAAACAGCACAACCCACAAGCTGCAACCAGCCTGTTAGTTTTTGTGGCTCAGTAATAGTACATAGCGGATACTGAAGACATGAGAGGATTGCTTTACCACAAAAGCCATCATGTTAGTTTCTAACTTCTCTTCAAAGTATCTTTGCAGTTTTTTGGCTTCATCACCAGCTTCCTGAGAAAAGAAAAGCTACAGTAAACTTTCAAAAGAATTGTAATGAGTATAAGATGAGAAATTATAAATTGAAGCAGGAAACAGACCTTGAGGACAGAGATGGCCATGTCATAATTATTCAAAAGAAAAGGTGCTGCAGCTTGGTAGTTGTAAAAGGTTGGGCAAGCCTAATAAGTAGGAGATCAATAGCTGACTGCAAGCGCCCAAGTTCATATCAAGCTGCATAAATCATGAATCATACTATCATATAAGCTGGCAACCTAATTACAGCATTCACAGAACCAAAAGCTGAACGGAACAATATCACGATTTGGAATGAATCTGGAACTGGAATTTCTGATCCCTGCCCCACATTTTTTTCTTGGGAAAGGTCAGAAACTCTATTTTGTATTTGAGTTTGGTACTAAAGAGAGGTATATTGAAGATCCCTGCCCCACATTTGAATTTGGAATGAATCTGGAACTGGAATTTCTGATCCCTCCACCATACAAATCTGATTTTATTGAGTAGTATAAGAGGTACTATAATTGCCTATTCTGAATAAAGATTTCCAGTTGTAGTCCACTTTTATGAATGTTTTTACTGAAACCTGTGTAGCAGTCCTATTAGAAATCCAACAAGAGCAGATAGACAATTTACTTGCATAACGATCACCAAGTGAACAACTTCAGAAGTGAGATATATGCAAGTAGGTCAGCAAGGTACTATTTAAGTGACCATATAAAAATAATGTTTTTATCAATAGGATCTTAGTATATATATAGCTGCTTGCAATATTAAAAGGCAGTGGCATTAGGTAATTAAACAAACCTGACCATCTCCAAGATTCAGCATTAAGTTGAACAAGGGATGCTGTGAACTCCACGTAGCACCTTGCAATATGGTGTGGATGGGTACCATCTATCCATATTGTTTATGCTGATCGCACTGATATAAGCTTTGAAGATACATGTCAAACACTACCTTGAAACGTGGCCAGAGATACATCAGAGCCTAAAGCAGATACAAGAGGGTCATGATCAAGATAAGAAACTAAAAAAAGAACAAATGGAAGTTGATAGCTGAGTGATTTATCACTCATACAAAATTGTGGCTCTTACTTAACCTTATCAAAATAGTTATCAAGACAAGGAAGCCGTCTGTCGCATTATAACCAACTGAAACAAAAAGGGACAATATGGTGAACTAACAAGCACAATGTGCTATATTAGAAAGAAAAATAGTTTAGCAAATGATCCATAATCTTATGGTTTAAGAAATTAACTTAGGTGCAATTACAGCATGTGTGATCAGCAATAACACATTTTCTTTTGTTGATTACACAATTAATACGTTGTGTTTATAACTTCCTACCTGGTGCTTCCTAGTTATGCAGATTATGAGCATGAGGCATACAGCATCATGACAATTTGGAAGAGTGATATCCAAATGTTGATCAATAACAGCAAAAGGTCCTGAAAATAATGGTGAGAATATGAGATTTTGTCACAACATTTGAAGCTGATGCTGCATCATAGATGATACTTTGGGGACCATCATGATTTTTGCCATTACAGGATTCCCCTTTTACCCAGGTTCAAGTCCTCTCGAGGCGAATTTGGGTGCTTATTTTCTTCTTATAAAATTCCACCTATTTCCTCCTAGGTTGGTCTAGTTTTTTTGCGATTCTCCTTTCAGGATTTTCCGCCCATATTAATGAAATACATGATTTGCCAATTTTTTATTTGTGCACTCAGGATTCCCCACTTTGGGTGTGTTGGAGTATAAGTGAATTGCCCACCTCTCCCCATCAGCTTAAGCTTGAACTGGTTGGTGTATGCAACTCGATAGGGTGTATTATCTCAGTTTTTTGGCCAAAAACACTGAGTGGAAATATGCTTATGACAAGATCCCAACTAATCCTGCAACGCCCATGGTATAGCCAGACCCATAACAAATTTTATATCACATTTGCTTAATCCCAGTCAGATTCACTCCATTTGCTTGACCTGTTAATGTTTCACTCAATCTACAGCTGCGAGAATGGTTGTAGTTGTCCAATCTATTCTTTTGAAAGGTATATGAGGCATATTAGATGTTGGCAGAGTGACATCAAATCTTTTCCCTAACAAAATAAAGAGTGTCCCTGAAGACAGTGGAAAGAAGACAAACGAATCATAAAACAACAAAAGAACGTACCTTCGAAAACTTGATAAAACAGTGCCTCTTCTCCAAAGAATGATTCTATGAAAAGATACCTGAAAAGTAAAATAGAAACTATTGATAATGTTAGCATACACACTTATTATACTTAACTGTAGATCAAATTGATAGATACTCAGAGCTTGCAGTGTCCATCAGAAGCTTCTGAAGGCTCCTGAAAATAACTTCATATGGGTATTTACGAGAGTTGACTTGAGATATATGCGGAACCAAGCCAGGTTGATGAATCTCCTGAAAAGTAAGGTAAACGGGATTATTAAATAGAACAATACTTTCTAAAGCAGCATTTGCTGAATGCTGCACCTTGGAGGACTAGGGTCCAAAAACAATGCAACATTGCTGAATCTCCAAACCTAGATAGAGCTCTGTTGGTCGCTAGTAGGAGCTTCTCTATTGGAGCTTGGCAGGGGCACAAGGTATCAATAACCTCCCTTGCCCAGGGGCTGAATGAGAGTTAATTTTTGGGTCAAGGTCGCCTACTTTGTGTGTCAAGGGCTAGTCTGTTTAATTTGGACATAGTGGTGTGAGTGGGTGTGCCTTTGTATGGGTTCTTATCCCTTTTTTTCTTCTTAATATAATGATGCGCAGCTCTCCTGCATGTTCGAGAAAAAAAAACATGCAACATTTTGCATTTGAAGTCAAGGTTTCCATGTTGCTCTGAACAGGAAAAGGATGTTCATAGAGTAAAGCACCTTCTTTGATGTGTTCAATCAAGTACCTTCAGAATATTTGCATCGCTCACCTGATGAAAACATGAAACCATGATTTCTCAGATGCTCTCTTCCTCTTATTATAATATCAATGATACTGGTATCATGTCCACTAAAATCATTGAGTACACCAATATCTAGCTTCAACCTCTCCAATGCTTCTACATACACATGAAAGTATGTACTCAACACCTGTTTGCAAAAGGGGAAGGTGAGAACAAACTAAATCAAGATCACAAGGAACATAACTATCCAGTATAATTACTATGTTCATAGTGGAAGGTCACTATGACACCATGACTATGGGCACCACAAAAGCAGATACATAGGCAATTTTTTCTTACTAAAAGAAGCAGTATTCTGTCATATTCTAAATTCATAAGCTTTCCTCATGAATAGAAAATTCATGGAGACCTACAATTTGAGAACCAAATCAATAATGGGTAGCATGTACTGTACACTACTGGCTGCACAATGACATATTAGTAGGTTGGATGACACCCAGTTCGGATGTTGGTAAAAACATTAGGTAACAATGTGCTTCTGTTATCCGGAAATGACAGCTCCAATGTTCCATCAATACCATAGGAGAAACAAAGGTGCAACAGCTGAGGGCCACTATGTGGAAGGATGGCTAGAGCTTGATGCCAGATAAAGGAATCATAATCATACTGCCTGAGTCTTAGAGACTAGTTCCATATTGTGAAAACAGACTAAATGCAGTTTTCATTATGCAAACCAATGCCCAAAGTAGGCATTTTTTGTATAGTCAACGGAATCACCAAAACTTAAAAGATGAGCATCAAAAGCAAAGTCTCATCCTTCCTCCATCTAGTTAAATCACTTTCAGACACTGAGGCTTATACCTCCACACACTCTTGGAAACCCTGTTCAGATACCAACAGTTCATACAGATTTAGTCATGGAGAAACTAACTAGAACGTCAAAAAGACTTACCTTATTCATTGTATCAACATATGATGCACACAAATCACCATACGTCTCGGAACCATGCTCTTTAAGAAACAGAACGAGATACCTAAGAAACCATGTAAGCTACAATTATTTCATGCAGCAAATTAATGGAAAGTGGTCTGCATTTTATTGCATTTGCAACAGTGGAATGATCTCAACACAAATAAAGAAAGCAAGCGTGCTATTTTAATCTAATTATTTGTTAATGCAATACATGGTGATATGGCTAACAAATATAGTGTATGATGTGTACTAGATACAACCAGAACAGAAACAACACTCTTTCACATCCTAAATTCGGAATTCACTAGTCAAATTGTTCTCCCAATCCCCCAAAATAACAGTAATAATATAATAAATTGAAATAGTTTCTGCACTACCCATATAGTTTAAATTTGAAGCATTACTGAGCATGAAACTAACTCCAACAAATGCACTAAAGGTTTGGTGCATGGCAGTATAATTTTTTTTTAGGTAAAATGGGGTAGGTGACATGAGCAAAATAAAAAGACGAAGAACGAAGAAGAGTCATGCATCAAACTATCATGCAGCAGACACGAGTAAATCAAAGGATGGGAAGAGTGTGAATAAGATTTTCCTCATGAACATGCACATTAGAAGTTAACACCTTAGAAGATAAGTGTTGTAAGGAGAGAAAATTTTACTTCATGTATGAAATTAGTTTTGCACGGCATATACCTATGCTTCTGAAGCAAATTTTGTTGCAATATCTGTATATTAGTCCCAGGTTTTCTCATAGCAAAGAAAATCTCCATAATATGTCTAGAAATCTGAAATGGTAAATGCAGCTTAAAGATGAGCATGAAACATCACTCCAGATCACATATTAACTACTGAACTAACATAAGCAGAAATTAAGAGGAACAAACACATCGTCCATCAGAACCAGAAACAGTGAATAACCAAGATGATGTAACCTTGATAGTGCCTTTTGTCGAAGCCTTTCCTTCCAATTCTTGCTTAATATCATTCAGAGCTTGTGATGCATTAATCAACGGATCATCTTGAACAAATTTCAACTTTGTGCTAAGGATCTCCAGACTTCTGGCATAACCATCATTTACCTAACAAAAGAAACTGGAATAGCAACTCATATGAACTATATGAAAAAAAAAAAGAATAGCAAGTCATTGTTCCTGAAAACTGACAACTTGCAGTGCACAAGATAAAACAGGAAGTAAAACAATCAAAATGCAAAACCATAGCATCAAATATCTGAGCTTTTTTAGGACAGTTACCTCTCCATTAATAAGAATATTTACCAAACCAGGAGGAGCAACTATCTCTTCAACAAACCCAGCAAGCTTTGTCTCAACCAACTGGGCATGTTTAAGATTTCATGTCAGCACATAATGACAAAAAAGGCAAAATGCATGAGTGTACCGTGCACTTATGTTACACTTGCAAGATATTAGTGGAAGGATAAATCAAATTGCTGTGAAAATTAATGTTACTTGTAAGCTCATTTGTGAAAATACAGGAAACCATTGATGTTAACATATGGTATTTGCTATGCAAGCTTGCCCTGACCTTGCGGTTCTTCAGTTTCAAGCTTATATCCCAGGATTTCTCCTGAAGGCTTCTAATTTTCGAGCTTATCAAACCTATATGGACCTGCCAAGTGAATCATTAAAATTAATTTTCAGTGATTTGATTATAATCAAAAGCTAATTTGAGCAAAAGCTGCTATAGAACATCGTCAATGCTTTAATTTAGTAAAAAGTAAATAAACCATCGTGAACTTGTAAAAGCAACACTACAATCGACAAAATCAATTAGTAATGGATTTCCTTTAATAAAAAGGAACACAGGAGCATTTTCTCTTGGTAAAAAAGTAGTAGTTTGATCTATAGAATGTAAAAAAAATATTTTAGTGACATCTGGGTTGGTGATTTGTTCAATTTGGGACAAATTACATGGAATCATAAGATTACAACAATGCTAAGAAGGAGATTATATATGAATATGTGCCTCCTGTAGTCCTGTATGACAATGTAAAGCAGCCAACCAATTTATCACGCTAAGAGAGACTGAAAGTCCAATTTTAGAGAGAACATAACAGTAGCATCAAGTTTCATAGGTAAACACAACCCGTATCCACATGATCTTTGAAGAAGATAAAAAAACTATTATGAACTACAAATACAAACACACCCATGTTTTGTATATCCACATTAACAAACTGCACCACCATTCCAGCAGTTGTTTTGCGTTTGTGCAGAATAACAGACCTACAATCTATTTAGCTACACCAATCAAGGAATTTGACCTAAAACATGGAAATGCAAAAAATAAATAAATAATGCATACACTAGTTGAGTATATACCTGGAATCCACTAAGAATTGATCCTATTTGTGACAAAATAATGTCACAGTCATGAATCTGATCATGCAACAGAACAAGGCTGTCATTATCTTCAATATAATCCTGAGGATATAAACAAACATTTCTAAGACCCAGGTGTTTAGATGCAATATTTCCACATAAAAAATTCAGAAATAAAATATAGGACACCACATTGCTGGCTTAAAAATATACAGATCTGTTCCATCAGTCGTATAATGCAGCTTATTGAAAAACTTACCTGTAAATAAGTTACAACACAAAGGTATAGATTATAAGGCACCAATATATTGTTTTTGACATAAAAAAATGGGTGTCAGAATATGTAATTTGAAGCACTAGAATTGGTTGTTGATTATGAATTTTGCCAAATGTGAAGGTTTAGCTTGCACATCAGTTCTACTGCTTGCATTGTTACACACATTGCGGCAGAAATTGTACACGTGGTATAACACAAGCTGATTGCTGCAAGTTCTGAAACCATTGCAGATTGCACTGCATTGCTTCAGTC